GTCAGACGATTTCAAAGTCAGATCTGGTGTGACCGAAGACTGTTCCTCTTTATGTCTGAGATCTGTTCAAACCTTGTACAGGCTAAACTGTTAAAATGTTACCAATGTAACTAAATGTTACACCCAACTTATACATTGTAAATATTTTCAAATACTAGTAAAGACAAATATTTGTAAAAACAGTGCTGAAATGTGTACATTTTTTGTGGAATGTTTTTCTTTGCTAATGCTAAGTATTGTGTAAAACAAAATGAAAAAAAAATATGTATTAAAGATTAGCCCTCAGAAAGCTGGAAAGTGGCTAAATGGTTAGCACTTCCGCCTGGCAGTGCTAGGGTTGTTGGTTCAAATCCCAACCATGGCACCACCTCCCTGGGGTTTGCATGTTCTCCCTGTACCTGTGTGGGTTTCCTCTGGGTACTCTGGTTTCCTCCCACATTCCAAAGACATGCTGGTAGGTGAATTGGATCCTGTCTAAATTGGCCCTAGTATGTGTATGTATGAATGTGAGTTAGAGACCTCAGATTGTACACTCCTTGAGGATTAGGGACTGATGTGAATGTACAATATATATATGTAAGTTGCTGTGTAAATTGATGGCGCTCTATAAGTACCTGAAATAAATAATGATAAACTAGCCACACATTTTTATTTTGTAATCCAATTCCTTGTGTTTTATTTAAGAAATACATGCAGCTATAGAAATAATGCCATACCGTACAATCCAGTGTTGATTGGGAAAGAAGCAGTTGGTGAAAGTAGATCTACAGACAAAACTCTTTTTCTTCATTTTGGATAGCGTAAGGGAGGGTTATAGCTCCTGTCAGATTTACATTTATATTTATAAGTTTTTGCAGAGATCACACTACTTCCCTTGAAAATACCTTGATCTGCGTTTCTCTCCAGAAGCATGGAATCATCACTGTCCAAGGTCACCATCTAGTTCCTGGCTTTTGATGCTCATTTACAGATGAGATAACCATGTATATCCTGTGCCTATTGCAGTTCTTGGCTGTGTTCACAAGTATTTAACACAAATCAGCCCCTGCTGCTGCCTCTTACCTTGTGATTTGCTACGTTACAGAGTGTCCTTTAATCTAGTGGTGGTCAACATTCTAGATATGATGGGCCTCAAGTGCAGCCCTTGATATCATATGAAATTCAGGAGCACACATGAAATTCAGTAAATATCCACTATCAGAGACAGCAGACACACAACAGGATATAGTTAAAGACTGTGGCCATCAAGGCCCTCCAGCCTACGGTACATCATGGTTTGGATGATCTAAGGTCATTTTGGGTGGTGGAGCTGCCAGAGCTGGACGATGAGGATTGGGAGGAAGTCTGGGGTTATCCCTTCACTCGGTCTCCTCCTGGGGCCAACTGATCCAATTCAAAAATTTTCATACGTTCCACTACACCCCACATAGGCTCCACAAAATCTACCCAGATTGTCCATCCACTTGTTGGAGGTGCGAGGCAGACTCAGTTGGATATTTACATATGATATGGTCATGTCCCCATTTGCAGATATTTTGGTCAGGAGTCCTTCCGTTCATTGCCCAATTAACCACCATCTCTATACCTCAAAATGCAGACATTTGCATATTAGGGCTGGTCAACACTACCACTGTGAGCCAAGGTGACGCATCTAAAACTGCACCCTAATAGAACCCGATGACAAAATTTGCCATGGGATGCAGGCTACTGGGCATAACTGCCCCTAACTAATCTAGTCTAGGCCACTCCAATATTTTGTGATATGATACACTGGTTATCTAGGGGGAGGATATTGACCAATGATCATTAGTCCTAGAGTAGCAAGCATGGGGCTTGTTAAGGTTGTTGCCATGTTATGTTCTGGTTTGATTGTAAACCTTTGTTTTGACTTTGTTTTGTATCTACTGAGCTGGGGAATGCCCATAAAGCTGTTTTGTACAACTAAAATTACAAAAAAACAGAATAAAAAAAAAAAGACTATGGTCATGATACAAGACAGAGACTGTAGACATATTACACAAGATGGTCAGAGACTGCAGACATGATACATGACACACCTGCCCCCACCTAGAGGACAATTTGAAGAGACAGCAGACAGCATACAAAATCAATCAGACTGCAGACATCTGAGATGGTCAGAACTGCAAACATGATAGAAGAGATGGTAAGAGAAAAATAATTATGGTCAATACAAGAGATGGAACACTGATTGAAAAGAGACACATCAGATCTCAATGGGGAAAAATCGCTGCATGGAAACACCCCCCATGCAGTGGGGATAACAGGGAGAAACCTGCCCCCACCTAGAGGACAAAGAAGAGACAGCAGCAGCATTACAAAATCAATCAAATCTGGAATAAAAAAAAATTAAAGGAACAAACGTTGTTGGCGGAAAATGGGCCAGGGGAAACAAAGTGTCGATCAAAGCTCGCTTGACTGTAAAAGGGGAGGCCTCACATATGGCCAGCTGCATGTTCAAAACACCCGACCATGCAAGTGGAGAGCACTAGTCACCAGAGCAAGCGAGCAGGGAGAAACTGCCCCACCTAGAGGACAGATCTCAATGGGGGAAAAATATCATGCTGGATATCTAGACTGATATGGACGGGGTAATGTGTTAGGAACGTAAGAATGCCCCATTGTTTGATGGAAATTAAATTATCAACCTACAGAGGACTGAATTCAAAGACACCCCGAAAATCAAAGTGAAAAAATGATGCAGCAGGCTAGTCCATTTTTCAGAAATTTCATTGCAGCAACTCAAAATGGTCCTCAGTATTTTGTATGGCCCCCACGTGCTTGTATGCATGCCTGACAACGTCGGGGCATGCTCCTAATGAGATGACAGATGGTGTCCTCCCAGATCTGGACCAGGGCATCACTGAGCTCCTGGACAGTCTGAGGTGCAACCTGGCAGCGTTGGATGGACCAAAGCATGATATCCCAGAGGTGTTCTATTGGATTTAGGTTAGGCGAGCGTGGGGGCCATTCAATGGTATCAATTCCTTCATCCTCCAGGAACTGCCTGCATACTCTCCCCACATGAGGCTGGGCATTGCCGTGCACCAGGAGGAATCCAAGACCCACTGCACCAGTGTAGGGTCTGACAATGGGTCCAAGGATTTCATCCCGATACCTAATGGCAGTCAGGGTGCCATTGTCTAGCCTATAGAGGTCTGTGGTCTCCATGGATATGCCTCCCCAAACCATCACTGACCCACCACCAAAATGGCTCAATGATGTTACAGGCAGCATAATGTTCTCCATGGCTTCTCCAGTCCCTTACACGCCTATCACATGTGCTCAGGGTGGACCTGCTCTTATCTGTGAAAAGCAGAGGGCACCAGTGGTGGACCTAACAATTCTGGTGTTCAATGGCAAATGCCAATCGAAGCTCTATGGTGCCAGGCAGTGAGCACAGGGCCCACTAGAGGAAGTTGGGCCCTCAGACCACCATCATGAAGTCTGTTTCTGATTGGTCAGAGACATTCACACCAGTGGCCTGCTGGCAGTCATTTTGTAGGGCTCTGGCAGTGCTCATCCTGTTCCTCCTTGCACAAAGGAGCAGATACCGGTCCTGCTGATGGGTTAAGGACCTTCTACAGCCCAGTCCAGCTCTCCTAGAGTAACTGCCTGTCTCCTGGAATCTCCTCCATGCTCCTGAGACTGTGCTGGGAGACACAGCAAACCTTTTGACAATGACATGTATTGATGTGCCATCCTGGAGGAGTTGGACTGCCTGTGCAGCCTCTGTAGGGTCCAGGTATCATCTCATGCTACCAGTAGTGACACTGACCCTAGCCAGAAAAGATGTGTAGGGAAAAAAAAAAATGCCAGTGGCCCATCTAGTGCAGCTGAAACTGATTAACAACCCCCTCTGGTACTTAACTGACCAGATCAATATCCCAGGAGTTTAATTGACTTGATGCTAGACTTTTATAAAAGAAGTGTTCCTTTAATTTTTGTTGAGCAGTGTATATCGATGTACAATATAGATGAGTGGCATGCACAAAAACCACAAATATTAACATGAATTGTGGCATTTAACTTAAAATGGAAGTAAAAGCCACGTTGTAAGTTGTGACCTACAGGTAAGTCTATAATACAGTAAGGCTGTGGGTACAGTGAATACCTCCTAAACTTGCACTGTTTAGGAGATATTCTCACAGCATGCAGCTGGTGATGTCACTGACACATGTGCTCTGAAGGGACAGAAAAGCGTGACGGACTCCGTGTAACAGCCAAGGGCTCCTGCATGGGAGTGACATCATCGCAGCTCTGGCCATTCATACTGCCGGAGCCCACAAACCCGGAAAAAAGACCAGATGAAGATGGCGGCACTGGGGAGGGGGCCCATTATTTTTTGAGGGGGCAGTTTACTACCACTTAACCACCTCCCGCCTGCCATATAAGGAAACAATGGGAGGGTGTTGGCTCTCTTGTTCTGGGAGGCCATCATATGATGTCCTTCCACTCTAGCTGCGCATGCGCGCCCAGGGGGCATGTGGTGCGGCGATCTGTGGTGCGCTGTATCCCTGGGACACAGCGGATCACCGATCGCATCAAAGAGCCAATGACACAGGCTCTATCATGTGATCAGCTATGTCCAATCACAGCTGATCGCAGGTAAATAGGAAATGCCGGTTATCAGCAGTCCTCTCCGCACGCTTACAGCGCATGAGGAGAGAAGAGCTAGTAAGCAGCATTCCTCAGAGGGGATATCTACACTGATCATCAGTGACCTGATTATCAGTGTAGTCCCATCAGTGCTGCCTTTCAGTGCCACCTGTCAGTGCCCATCAATGTCACATACCAGTACCCATCAGTGCACATCAATGCCACATACCAGTACCCATCAGTGCACATCAATGGCACATACCAGTACCCATCAGTGCACATCAATGCCACATATCAGTTCCCATCAGTGCACATCAATACCACATATCAGTACCCATCAGTGCACATCAATGCCACATATCAGTACCCATCAGTGCACATCAATGCCACATATCAGTACCCATCAGTGCACATCAATGCCACATATCAGTTCCCATCAGTGCACATCAATACCACATATTGGTACCCATCAGTGCACATCAATGCCACATATCAGTACCCATCAGTGCACATCAATGCCATATACCAGTACCCATCAGTGCATCAATGCCATATACCAGTACCCATCAGTGTACATCAATGCCACATATCAGTACCCATCAGTGCACATCAATGCCACATACCAGTACCCATCAGTGCACATCAATGCCATATACCAGTACCCATCAGTGCACATCAATGCCATATACCAGTACCCATCAGTGCACATCAATGCCACATATCAGTACCCATCAGTGCTGCCTTTCAGTGCCAGTCAGTGCCACCTATCAGTGCCACCTTTCAGTGCCAGTCAGTGCCGTCTATCAGTGCCATCTAACAGTTCCAATCAGTGCCGCCTATCAGTGCCCATCAGTGCCACCTATCAGTGCCATATATGAGTGCTGCCTTTCAGCGCCCATCAGTGATGCCTGTCAATGCCCACCAGTGATGCCCGTCAATGCCCATCTGTGCCGCCTATCAGTGCCTCCTCATCAGTGCCGCCCTCAGTGCCCATCACTGCAGCCTCATTAGCTTACATCAGTGAAGGAGAAAAATTACTTATTTACAAAATTTTATAACAGAAACTAAGAAAAAACTTGTTTTTTTCAAAATGTTCTGATTTTTTAGTTTGTTTAGCAAAAAATAAAAAACCCAGTGCTGATTAAATACCACCAAAAGAAAGCTCTATCTAAAAAAAATGAAAAATATGTTGTTTAGGTACAGTGTTGCATGACCAAGCAATTGTCATTCAAAGTGCGACAGCCCTGAAAGCTGAAAATTGGCCTGGGCAGGAAGGGGGTGAAAATGCCTGGTAGGCAAGTGGTTAAGCACATACATCACATGTAGTACAGTATAGGGCAACCAGAGAAAAAGAGGGAAACCAAGAAGGGGTAGAAAAAGTGTTAGATGACAAAATAAATGAAAAGGCATTGAAAAAAATAAATACAAAGGAGAAAGAGAAAAGAGAAGGGCATAGGGATCTCTGAAATGGGAACATGTGTTATTCCTTTTCACACCCTCCAGAAACAAAACCCCCCAGAAAGGGCTTATACAGTGGGGCAAAAAAGTATTTAGTCAGCCACCAATTGTGCAAGTTCTCCCACTTAAAAAGATGAGAGAGGCCTGTAATTGGCATCATAGGTAGACCTCAACTATGAGAGACAAAATGAGAAAAAAATCCAGACAATCACATTGGCTGATTTGGAAAGAATTTATTTGCAAATTATGGTGGAAAATAAGTATTTGGTCACCTACAAACAAGCAAGATTTCTGGCTCTCACAGACCTGTACCTTCTTCTTTAAGAGGCTCCTCTGTCCTGCACTCATTACCTGTATCAATGGCACCTGTTTGAACTTGTTATCAGAAGACACCTGTCCACAACCTCAAACAGTCACACTCCAAACTCCACTATGGTGAAGACCAAAGAGCTGTCGAACGACACCAGAAACAAAATTGTAGACCTGCACCAGGCTGGAAAGACTGAATCTGCAATAGGCAAGCAGCTTGGTGTGAACAAATCAACTGTGGGAGCAATAATTGGAAAATGTAAGACATAGAAGACCACTGATAATCTCCCTCGATCTGGGGCTCCACGCAAGATCTCACCCCGTGGGGTCAAAATGATCACAAGAACGGTGAGCAAAAATCCCAGGACCACACGGGGGGTCCTAGTGAATGACCTGCAGAAAGCTGGGACCAATGTAACAAAGGCTACCATCAGTAACACACTACGCCGCCAGGGACTCAGATCCTGCAGTGCCAGACGTGTTCCCCTGCTTAAGCCAGTACATGTCCGGGCCCATCTGAAGTTTGATAGAGAGCATTTGGATGATCCAGAAGAGGATTGGGAGAATGTAATATGGTCAGATGAAACCAAAATAGAACTGTTTGGTAGAAACACAACTCGTTGTGTTTGCAGGAGAGAGAATGCTGAGTTGCATCCAAAGAACACCATACCTACTGTGAAGCATGGGGGTGGTAACATCATGCTTTGGGGCTGTTTCTCCGCAAAGGGACCAGGACGACTGATCCATATACAGGACAGAATGAATGGGGCCATGTATTGTGAGATTTTGAGTGCAAACCTCCTTCCATCAGCAAGGGCATTGAAGATGAAACATGGCTGGGTCTTCCAACATGACAATGATCCCAAACATACCGCCCAGGCAACAAAGGAGTGGCTTCGTAAGAAGCATTTCAAGGTCCTGGAGTGGCCTAGCCAGTTGAAAGTCCGTGATGCCCAGCGACAGCCCCAAAACATCACTGCTCTAGAGGAGATCTGCATGGAGGAATGGGCCAACATACCAGCAACAGTGTGTGCCAACCTTGTGAAGACTTACAGGAAACGTTTGACCTCTGTCATTGCCAACAAAGGATATATAACAAAGCATTGAGATGAACTTTTGATATTGACCAAATACTTATTTTCCACCATAATTTGCAAATAAATTCTTTCCAAATCAGCCAATGTGATTGTCTGGATTTTTTTTCTCATTTTGTCTCTCATAGTTGAGGTCTACCTATGATGCCAATTACAGGCCTCTCTCATCTTTTTAAGTGGGAGAATTTGCACAATTGGTGGCTGACTAAATACTTTTTTGCCCCACTGTATAAAAACAGATTAAAACCCGATAGCATTAAATCTATGGATCCACCTGAGCTCACATTGGAGGAGACTTTTGTCCCAGTCCTCTCCACGTGGATCCGGGTGGATCCTATCCAAAATGAGGAATTGGATATTAGGAAAGACACCGTCATGAAGACTGGCCACATGGCATCCCAAGGGAAGCTTGGCATTGTTGGATAATGATAAGCATGGCACCCAAATTCTAGTTCATTTTTGCCTGCATAGAAGCAATTGGTTTGGTTTTGATGACATCATACAAAACTGCACCAATATTTGCTGTAAAATGGAGATATACACCATGATAGAAATCACCATTATAACAAGGCAATAGGGAAACACAGATTTGTGTCTGCAGGGGCCCAGAGGGCCACACGAAAAGTGCCAAAGGGCTGCATGTGGCCCCCAAGCTGCAGGATGGGCACCAGGGTTCTAATTACTGGGGAGGAGGAGACTGGGGACATGTTTTCTCCTGCCTGCAGCAAACTGATGACATCATCCCAACCTAAGCAATGTCAGTGATTCAAGTTTGCCCAAAGAAAGCTTTTTAATTATTAAAGATGGGGATTTCTTTAAATTGTCTCTAGGGACAGTCATTGATCCAGGCAGTCTTGTAAAGTTACTTTAATAAGCCCAGCTCCCCATGGCTTTCAGGGCTCTGTAGGAGGCTCATCTTGATGACAAGGCAGCTTGTGCAGTGTTTGTCTTGTCAGGTCATCAGTCTACCTGTCTGCAGGCAGTTTTTTTTTTTTTTTTTTAATGCTTGTGTTGCACAATGTGCTGGAATGGATGAACTGGCATCAGAATACCAGAAAAAAGGGGTATCTGAAATCTGTCTGAGGACGATAAATTATCTTCGGATAGTTACTCATATGGAATTAATATCTCTAAAATTTACAAAATGCCTCCGTTTCCTTGGTGATCATTCTAGAAAGAATGCACCAATGCAAAAACCGTCTAAAGCTAGCAGATGTATGGATGCCCAGAGACAGCAAGGTCTAGGCACTGACACACCAGAGAGAAGTCACTGTACTGCCAGCAGCAGCTAAAAACTATAGATCGGAAAAGCAGCCGACTGGTTCATACCATTCACAGTACCAGTACATTAACCAATTCAGCTCCGGAAGATTTTACCCCCTTCATGACCTGGCCATTCTTTGCTGTTTGGCACTGCGCTACTTTAACTGCTTCCTCACCGCCCTATAGCAGAAATAGTGCTACGGGGCGGCACAGGTGCGCAAAACCACGTATATATATGTGATTTTACAGTTCCAGGTAGGGCCACCATTCATGGCCTCGGCTGTCAATCACCGGGTCCAGGCTAGTGATTCCTCGCCGGCACCCAGCCTGCTGCAGTCCCGCTATAAGTAGCTGATCGCCACCATTACTAGTAATTAAAAAAAAAAATTCCAGTATATATACCGCCATTTATAAACGCTATAACTTTCACGTAAACCAATTTACACGTACTGGGATTTTTTTTTTAAGCAAAGACATGTCGCAGAATACATTTCGGTGTAAATTTATGATGAAATTTGAGTTTTAAAATTTTTGTACTAAAACTGCTCCCCATTAAGCTGAAAATGAAGTGGATGGGGATGTACACATGCTGCAGCAAGAACCAAACCCCCTGAAGTGGGCACTACCCGCCTGCTGAACACAAACCATTCAAGGGAATAGGGGTGTACTTTGTTGATCTGCAATGTGGACATTGGACATTGCAGATCAACAGATCCCAGCCGTGAAACTGGCCACTGTCACGAACGCGGTGTCAGACCCCAGCCCTTCTCACCAAACTCGTGACCGAAGGACTAGCCAATCTAAAACCACGTTGTCATGTGCGTAACAATGCCACATGCAGCTGCAAACTGCACAACGATTCTCCAGCTAATTGGACCACAATCGATGTACCGGCAGCCTGAGCGATTGTTACTGGGTCAGGTTAATTACGCAATTAACCCTTCACACTGCCACCACCCTCCTTTTTGTACAGAGAAAGAGGAAACTCGGCAATATCAGCTAAAACACTATAATGGTTGAGATAATCGTCTGCATAATACGGTCACCGCAGGCCGATTATGCTGAACACAACCCATTCAAGGGAATAGGGGTGTACTGAGACCGCCCCACAGTGCAGTGGTGCAGCATTTATGGGGTTAAAGCAGGTGACATATTGATACCTCACCACCTCTCAAACACCTGAAATGGGATCCAACCGCAAAATGCTTTTCAGAGGCATGGCAATGACAGCAGCATGTATAAAACCGGTCTAATGGTCAACTATTGTAAGGAATGTATAACCTGCCAAAAGAAGAAACACGGGCTCTCACCCTCTTATGGGTGATATGAAAGTCCTTGTTATTTAATAATCTGCTGTGTGGGTGTATGCTGAATAATACATTGAAATACTAATTGGAGACATTATTTATTCATGTGACACCAATATGTTATTTTGGGCTTTAGGAAAGACTGTAAACACTAATAAATAATTTGTCATCTTTATTGGCAATCCGGACAGGCCGCCGATTGATCAGATAAAGTAAGGTGTTGGCATGAATGTCATGAATACTGGTGTGCGACATCCAGACACACACTGCGATGGGTTAACACACACTCACTAATGTTCGCTATTCCATGCATTTGTATGTGTTATGTTAACCACTACAGCTCTGGAAGATTTTACTCCCTTCATGACCAGGCCATTTTTTGCTATTGTGCACTGTGCTACTTTAACGGTAATTGCACAGTCATGCAATGCTCTACCCAACAAAATTTATATCATTTTTTTATCACACAAAAAGAGCTGGAAGTATTTGATCACCATTT